AGGATATCTTGCTGGGGAAAGGGCAATTTGCACACTGGAGTTGGATTCTTACTGGGAAAGACCAGTGTGTGTGCTGGTGGTGGGTTCTTACTGGGGAAGACCAGTCTGTGTGCTGGTGGTGGGTTCTTACTGGGAAAGATCAGTCTGTGTACTGGTGGTGGGTTCTTACTGGGAAAGACCAATTTGTGTGCTGGTGGTGGGTTCTTACTGGGAAAGACCAGTCTGTGTCCTGGGGTTGGGTTCTTACTGGGAAAAAAAACAATGTGTGCTGGAGGTGGGATTTTACCGGGGAAAGACCAGTGTGTGTGCTGGTAGTAGGTTCTTACTGGGAAAGACCAGTCTGTGTACTGGTGGTGGGTTCTTACTGGGAAAGACCAGTCTGTGTGCTGGTGGTGGGTTCTTACTGGGAAAGAACAATTTGTGTGCTGGTGGTGGGTTCTTACTGGGAAAGAACAATTTGTGTGCTGGTGGTGGGTTCTTACTGGGAAAGAACAATTTGTGGACTGGTGGTGGGTTCTTACTGAGAAAGAACAATTTGTGGGCTGGTGGTGGTATCTCACCGGGGAAAGAACAATTTGTGTTCTTTTGTGTGGAGGTGGGTTCTTATGGGGAAAAACCAGTCTGTGTGCTGGTGGTGAGTTCTTACTGGCAAAGGCCAATTTGTGTGCTGGTGGTTGACTTTTTCTGGGAAAGACCAGTCTGTGTGCTGGTGGTGAGTTCTTACTGGGAAAAAAAACAATGTGTGGTGGAGGTGGGATCTTACTGCCGAGCATGCTCTGTTCAGCTACAATAAAGACCCCCCCCACCCCCACCCCAGTGACAAAGTGAGCTGAACTTACTGATTGTATTGTTGTAAGCTAACCAAGTAGCAGGTTGTAGCTTTCAATCAAGCTACACATTTCATCATGCCTTTGGAACTACAAGACCCATGAGGTATTGCAAGACTCTGACAGCCACAGGCGTGACTTCCAGAGTCTTGCAATGCCTCATGGGACCTGTGGTTCCACAATAGTTGGAGTACCGAGGTTGCCCACCCCTGCTATAGACGCTGAGCATGCTAAAATGTCTGAGGATGAGAACCAAAAGGGAGATCATGTGTCACGGAATATTGCAACCCGAGCATTACGTGTTTCACCGCAAAGCACAATAACGCATTGCGCTCTGCGTGATGCTTTTCAGGGCCATTCTTTTGACATTGCATTTTGTTTTAGATTGGCATCCCAACGCAGAGTGCCGCAGGCGCCGACAGCCCCGCATAGCACACCGCAACGCACACATGTTGTATTATGTTAAGGTGCGTTAAAGAAAAAGATGCGACCCATCTGGACGTATTTGTTAATACATCACTATATGCAGGACCTGAATGTGACTGTACACTCCCTGTACAGCAGAGCTCAGACTGGGGGAGAGGGAAGCAGCACAAAGAGCCAATCAGTTGCGCTACAGTGCTCATGTGCTAACAAGGAGGGGAGGGCAGAGTGACTAGAAAGATGACTTTAGCACTCTGCTGCTTCTCTTTTCACTGTCCAATCACAGACTTGGGGGAGGGACAAGACAGTCTCCAGGACTATGCTGTGTAGCAGAGCTGTGTAACTCTTGGGACTGGAAGGACGGATATACAAATCCTTTGGCAGGTATACAGCTCTATATACAGCACCTTTCTATGTATATTTAGCTGTATACTGTATTTAAGGTTTTTCTTTTCACCAGCCAGATGTAAGGTTGGGATACTATAACTAACCGAACTAGCTGCATGCTTTTGTATTTTAGTTATACAATGAAGCCGTATTGCCGAGTACAGCGCGGTGTTATATAACTTCCTTTTCAATGCAGCGGTAACCATCGGCTTTATTTAGGAAAACCTTTTAGCGCGGAACAATTCTGTATTGACTATGACGTGGGCGGGAAGCAGCTTTGTTGCTGCAACTCAAAAAGAACATTTTTGAATCCATTTTGATTTCCATGTAGAGGCCAGAGTGCAAAACAACAAGTATGGCTTAAGGAAGCACTCCGGGAATATAAAAAAAATACCCTTGCACTGGGGCTACCCCCCTCTCCCCCCCCCCATGTACTGCAAGGGTTAAGTGCTCATTTGGGCTAGGTGATAGGCCCAGGCGCTGTCACATAGGGAAGTAGGGAAGGTCACATGCTCCCTTATACCCAGAAGCCAATCTCTATTTCCAAGGTCACTGGCAGCCCTGGGAAAGGGGGGAGTGAGGGAGAGCGATTGGGTCAGCATATACAATATGTACAGACACTAAATAGTAGGGATGCACCGATAACGGTTTTCCGGTATCGAGTACGGATATGTTTTTTCCGGTACTCGCCGATACCGAATACTGATACCGAATACCGATACCGGAAGTCCCATTAAGGAAGCCAGGCGGCGTGTAATGACTCGACACCAGGCTTCCCGACTAGCAGGGAAGCCGTCCCCATGCTTCTCGTCACTCGGTGACGAGAAAGCATGGAGCCGGCTTTCTGGCCAATCAGGAAGCCGCGCGCCGTGTAATGACGTGGCGCCCGGATTCCTGATTGACCGGGAAGCCGGCTCCATGCTCTCTCGTCACTAGGTGACAAGGGAGCATGAAGCCGGCTTCCCTGTCAATGAGAAAGCCAGGTGCCGCGTCATAACACGGTGCCCAGTCTTCCTGATACCGGAAGTATCGGGCTAGGCATCGGAGCATTAGGGCGAGTATGAGTACTCGCCCAAATACTCTGCATCAGCACCCATACCGATACTAGTATCGGTACATCCCTAATTTGCAAGGTCACTGACAGCCTGGGTAAGGGGGGAGTGAGGGAGAGCAATTGGTTAAGCATAGATGCTCTGGAGGTTGGGCTATGTGCAGACACTAAATAGGAACAAGGGGTTATTTATAACATGTTCGCCCAGTGTATAGCTAAACGAAGGACATTCACATCATGTTACAGCCACTAGATGGAGCCAAAGAGCATAGCAATTTCCTTAGCTCCTGGGCTCCATCTAGTGGCAGTAAAGTGCTGCAAACGTCATGGTTGCACTCGATGGACATGTGTCTTTTTTCAACCTAGCTAACTATGTCATTGGCTCTGCTATAAGCTGCCCCTAAGAGTCTCTTTACCAAACACAGATACAAAAACTTGCTGAACTCTTAATTATTGTATCGGTCCGGAGCACACAGTGGCTTGGGACCATCATACATTTGTTAAATTGTTTCTCTTATTTTATTGCTATGTTTATTATTTAGGAAGAGGGTATAGTTGGGGCCTTTAAGGTGCAAATATGAACAGCACATACATTAAAGGAGAACTATGAGGTGAGTGGTTTTCACTCATCCTCATAGTTCGAGCCGACCTGTGACAATGAGACTGTCACACATCGGCTCAATAGATCAGGAAGTGAGGGAACACATAACGTCGCTCGCTCACTTCTCGATCATCTCCCTGCAGAGAGCTTTGACTGTCACTCACGGCTCCCCGGAAGGATTCCCCCCTCCCTTCTCCGCACCTCCAGAGCTGACTGGCGGAACGGACGGGGGAGGGGGCGGGTACAGCTGGCTCTGCCTTTAGATAGGCAGATCCAGCTGTCAATCACGCAGCTGGGTGGATCTCAACAGTAATGTCGGGATCTCTTCCGTCTGCGGCGGTCTGAGTATACTGCGAGCTGTAGTTCTCCTTTAAGGATCAAAATTATATGTACACATCTTAACATTGCATAAGCATAACAATTGATCATCTCTTTGTCCCAACCACATTGTCCTAACATGGACCCCCCCAGAAAGGTAGAAACACCTAGTTACAGTAGCAACATTGACTTGTTACAATCGGTATATAATTTATTTTCCATTATGCATATCATAGTTATAGGGTCCATGAGGTGCCCAACGCGTTTTACCCTTATGGGCTTCCCCCGGGCTGGATGGGTTGACCAATGAGATTTTGTTTAAAAGTCCCCGGGTATTGGGGGTTACATATGCAGAAAAGGAGCATCGACGCCCAAAAGTGGTGGGTGGGACCACAAGAGGGAAGGGAGACAATGGTTCCAACTCCTCTGGAGTGATTATAACCTCTGGATGGCCAAGGAGAGCTGAATGTCTCTGCCACTCTATCGCATTCTGTCACAAGCACCTCTCCATACACGGGGCCCCAAATGCTGCCTTATTATTGCTAGGGATGTATCTGTTGGCGCGAGGTTGGTGCCCGTTATGTCACCAGTGAATGGAGCACTAACGGTTAATCTGATTGACTGGAATGTTGTCATGTGACACAGCGGCGACCTCTTTCAGTCACAGCTCCCTGCGCGTTATACGTCTCTAACAATCTTAAGCCGTGATGTTCTTCAAGGAGACCACATGGTAAAGAGAACCTGCATGGGACCGCATGCCGCCACTTGCGTCCGTCCCCTTATCACATTTACCCGAATACTTGACATTTTTTCGCAAAAGCAATTACCAAAATGAGATGCATGTGTTTTGAAGTAAGTCAAACAATTATCTGATACGCGGCAAGTAGCTGATCTGTGTTAAAATTAGAATCCCGGCTGACACGGGCTGATGGTGAAAGTGTCTCTCTTGTCTCTGTTGTCTCGCAGTCGGAGGACCTCGGTGCCTGCGCCCAGTTCGAGAACAGCCGCAACAACAGGAACATGATGCCCAGCTCCAGCTGCGTCTTCCCCACCTTCACCCTGAGGAAGCCGTCGTCCGAGACCGACATCGAGAACTGGGCCTCCAAGCACTTCAACAAGCACACGCAGGGCTTGTTCCGGCGGAAGGTCTCCATCGCCAACATGCTGGCCTGGAGCAGCGAGTCCATCAAGAAGCCCATGATCATGACCTCCGACCGCAATGTGAAGAAAGAAGCTTGCGAGATCTTCAAGCTCATCCAGATGTACATGGGCGACCGGAGGGCCAAGACCGACCAGCTCAACGTAGCTTTAGAGGTCGCCACCAAGGGATGGAGCATGCAGGGGTTGAGGGACGAGCTGTACATCCAACTGTGCCGTCAGACCACCGAGAACTTCCGCTACGAGAGCCTGGCTCGGGGCTGGGAATTAATGACCATCTGTTTGGCTTTTTTTCCACCGACTCCAAAGTTTCACTCTTACTTGGAAGGATATATCTATCGGCACATGGACCCGGTGCATGATACTAAAGGTAAGATGGAGATCTTTACATGCTTATAGTCTGTAGTTTCAAGAATGGTTGTAAGGAGGTGTGCTATGCTAAGGCAACCCATTTATTATGAATTATGCTTCTGTAGCCCAAAGAATGGTCAACAAGACTGGTCCATTATGGTGTGTCAGTGCCCATTACATTAAGCCAACCCATTTATTATGAATTTTTCTTCTGTAGCTCAAAGAATGGTCCTGAAGACTGGGATATTGAGGTCTATCAATGCCCACTACAATAAGGCAACCCATTTATTCTGTAGCCCAAAGAATGGTCAAGAAGACTGGGCCATTATGGTGTGTTAGTGCCATACATTAAGCCAACCCATTTATTATGAATTGTTCTTCTGAAGCTCAGAGAATGGTCCTGAAGACTGGGATATTGAGGCCTATCAATGCCCACTACATTAAGGCAACCCATTTATTCTGTAGCCCAAAGAATGGTCAAGACTGGGCCATTATGGTGTGTTAGTGCCCAATACATTAAGGCAACCTATTAATTATGAATTATGCTTCTGTAGCCCAAAGAATGGTCAACAAGACTGGGCCATTGAGGTGTGTCAATGTGTGCTATGCTAAGACAACCCATTTATTAGGAATTATGCTTCTGTAGCCCAAACAATGGTCAACAAGCCTGGGCCATTAGGCTTGTCAACACCCTTTACATTAAGGCAACCCATTTGCTATGAATTATCCTTCTGTAGCTCAAAGAATGGTCCTGAAGAGTGGGATATTGAGGTCTATCAATGTCCACTACATTAGGGCAATCCATTTATTCTGTAGCCCAAATAATGGTCAAAAATACTGGGCCATTATGGTGTGTCAACACCCATTACGTTAAGACAACCCATTTATTATGAATTATGCTTCTGTAGCTCAAAGAATTTTCACGAAGATTGGGCCATTATGGTGTGTCAACACCCACTACGTTAAGGCAACACATTTGTTATGAATGATGCTTCTGTAGCCCAAAGAATGGTCAAAAAGACTGGGCCCATAGGCTTGTCAACACCCATTACATTAAGGTAGCCCATTTGCCTTATTCTTCTGTAGTTCAAAGAATGTCCCTTGAATATTGGGATATTGAGGTCTATCAATAATCACTACATTAGGGCAACCCATTTATTCTGTAGCCCAAAGAATGGTCAAAAAGACTGGGCCATTATTGTGTCGGTGCCCACTACATTAAGGCAACTTGTTTATTATGAATTATGCTTCTGTAGCCCAAAGAATGGTCATGAAGACTGGGCCATTGAGATGTATCAATGCGCGCTACGCTAAGACAACCCATTTATTAGGAATTATGCTTCCGTAGCTCAAAGAATTTTCATGAAGACTGGGCCATTGAGTTGTGTCAACACCCACTATGTTCAGGTAACCCATTTATTATGAATTATGCTTCTGTAGCCCAAAGAATGGTCAACAAGACTGGGCCATTGAGGTGTGCAAATGTCTATTACATTAGGTAACCCATTTATTATGAATTGCTCTTCTGTAGCCCAAAGAATGGTCAACAAGACTGGGCCATTGAGATGTGTCAATGCTCCCTCTATTAAAGCAACCCATTTTATATAAATTATGGATTATGAATGGGCTGCCATGGCATTGGGCCAAAAATCATACCTAACCTTTTTTTTTTTAGCATGGCCCATACATTGTGGTGAGCTGCAGCGTAGATGTGGTGCCTGCTACTGCAATGGTGAGTTGAGGTGACATTCATAAGGACTGGCGGCGGATTCACCACACCATTGCCTGCATGTTTCCACCTCTTACCATAAAGCATAGATAAGAGTGGGCCATTGTGGCCGTGTCACACAGCAGCCTTATAGCCAAGATTTGCCCCCGAATTCTGTCCATTGCAATTTTTGTGGATCACACCAGCTTTAGGGTGGGGTAAATCAACGGAAAATGACTGACAGAAGATCTTTGTTTAGAAATTAGCACATTACTTAGCTTTTTTTTAGTAACAAATATGAAGATTTTGGGGGTTATTCACTAAAAAGCCGAAGGATCCAGCTGTAGCTTCGGCTGATCCTTCGGCTCTCTTTGGCCGTTGGAGCTGAACCGAAGAGCTGCTGTACAGCTGCGTAGTCCGTACAGCAGCCAAAGACAGCCGAGCCGAAGCGTGGAGAAAGGTCGGCCCCCTCCCCGCTCCGATCCACCAGTGCTGACTGGCGGAACGGACGGGGGAGGGGGCGGGCACAGCTGGCTCTGCCTCTAGATAGGCAGAGCCAGCTGTCACTCACGCAGCTGGGCGGATCTCGGCACAATTGTCGGGATCCGCTTCAGCTGCCGCGCCTCAGTTCGCGGTATACTGAGCCTAGGGTGACGGGAGGACGCTAGTTTGTGTCCTTCCGTTACCCTAAGGAGAACTATGGGGAAAAGACTTAACCCCATAGTTCTCCTTCAAATAATAACAACTTATCCGAGCCGACCGTTGCTTTTTTTTTAAAATTATTTTTAATTTTCTTTTTTTTTTTCTTTTCTTTGAACTATTTTTTTTTTTTAATTTTACTATTTTATGACATTTAAAAAATTATTTTTCAACTTTTTTTTCTTATTTTTTTTTTCTTCATTTCATTCTTTTTCTATTCTGCTTGGTACCTCGGAGGTACCAAGCAGAACAGCCGAGCCGAATGCCGCTCGGTGGCATACGGCTATTCACTTACTACCGTTCGGCCCCTGTGAGAATAGGGGAGAACGGCAGCGAGTGAGCTGCCAAAGCTTCAGCTCAGCCGATCCAGATGTTGGATCGGCCGAGTCAAATTCCCTCTGCACCTCGGCTCAGCCCAACACGCAGAGAGTGTTTGACTGACCGAAGGCAGCCGATGTACGGCTGATTTTAGCTGATGTACGGCTGATTTTAACCGATGTACGGCTGATTTTAGCTGATCTACGGCTGATTTTAACCGATGTACGGCTGATTTTAGCTGATCTACGGCTGATTTTAACCGATGTACGGCTGATTTTAGCTGATCTACGGCTGATTTTAACCGATGTACGGCTGATTTTAGCTGATCTACGGCTGATTTTAACCGATGTACGGCTGATTTTAGCTGATCTACGGCTGATTTTAACCGATGTACGGCTGATTTTAGCTGATCTACGGCTGATTTTAACCGATGTACGGCTGATTTTAGCTGATCTACGGCTGATTTTAACCGATGTACGGCTGATTTTAGCTGATCTACGGCTGATTTTAACCGATGTACGGCTGATTTTAGCTGATCTACGGCTGATTTTAACCGATGTACGGCTGATTTTAGCTGATCTACGGCTGATTTTAACCGATGTACGGCTGATTTTAGCTGATCTACGGCTGATTTTAACCGATGTACGGCTGATTTTAGCTGATCTACGGCTGATTTTAACCGATGTACGGCTGATTTTAGCTGATCTACGGCTGATTTTAACCGATGTACGGCTGATTTTAGCTGATCTACGGCTGATTTTAACCGATGTACGGCTGATTTTAGCTGATCTACGGCTGATTTTAACCGATGTACGGCTGATTTTAGCTGACGTACGGCTGATTTTAACCAATGTACGGCTGATTTTAACCAATGTACGGCTGATTTTAACCGATGTACGGCTGATTTTAACCAATGTACGGCTGATTTTAGCTGACGTACGGCTGATTTTAACCAATGTATGGCTGATTTTAACCGATGTACGGCTGATTTTGACCGATGTACAGCTGGTTTTAACCGATGTACGGCTGATTTTAGCTGACGTACGGCTGATTTTAACCGATGTACGGCTGATTTTAACCGATGTACGGCTGGTTTTAACCGATGTACGGCTGGTTTTAATCAATGTATTGCTGATTTTAATCGATGTACGGCTGGTTTTAATCGATGTACGGCTGATTTTAGCTGATGTACAGCTGATTTTAACCGATGTACGGCTGATTTTAACCGATGTACGGCTGATTTTAACCGATGTACGGCTGAAATCAGCTGTACAAGACTGAAGTGAATAGCCGAACAGCGTTCTACTCACTTCACTTCGGCTGGGTTATTTACTCGGCTGCCTTCGGCAGCTTTGTGCACAACGCCCTATGTGTTTGCATGTGAGAGGAGATCATTTCCACAAAGATTTTGGGCCTGATCCGGACAGTGACGCTATTATTCAATGACACGCAGCTTGGGTAATGGCCATTACATACCGGGTTCATCGGCCCGTTAACCCGCCTCACAGTCCACTAACCTGCGCAGCGCTTATCTGTAACCTTCAGTGTGGACCTCAGTCATAGAACCTTGGATGTGAGCGGGTATTGTGTACGTGTATAGGAGATGTCTAACTATTATTTGACACGAGCAATGACGCGTACGCATGCTTTTTAGCTAATGTGGATTGAAAAAGCCCCCTCAGAGTATCTGTGTGATTAGCCTCAGATTGAAGCTGTTGTTGTCTGATTTCCAAACTCCTGGCCAGTGAAGCTTCGCTGTGATTGATGCGGGGCTGGAAATCTGACATGTCGTCAACTTTCAGACGTGGATTGGCCTCATGTTAGTTCTGGGGTGGTGAAGTCACTGGTCGCATTTACTACCTCACTCCCGGAACCAGCAAGAAGCCAACTCTCCCAGAACCGGCCATTTGTCTACAGGCTGCCGGCATTTTACACCCACCCTGGTGTAGTAGGTGCTGTGTATGCTAGTAAGAATGTGACAGGTTCTCTTTCATGTCTGGATTGGATAAGCAATACGTGGGGAGCAATCAAGCTGACCTACCGCCTCCCCTTCAGTCTTCAATCTGACCTCCGTCCTCCCCTTCAGTCTTCTATCTGACCTCCGTTCTCCCCTTCAGTCTTCTATCTGACCTCCGTTCTCCCCTTCAGTCTTCTATCTGACCTCCGTTCTCCCCTTCAGTCTTCTATCTGACCTCCGTTCTCCCCTTCAGTCTTCTATCTGACCTCCGTTCTCCCCTTCAGTCTTCTATCTGACCTCCGTTCTCCCCTTCAGTCTTCTATCTGACCTCCGTTCT